TAATGACGGAGCGGACGTGTGTCGGAGTAGGTTTCTGAGCACATGCGCGGGTTTAATGTAAGACGACAGTCCGTCTCTGGCCGTATGAATGCGACGAGGAGATATGTTCAGTCGGGCATGCAGCGGGCGGCGCTCTATCAGCAGGAACGCCCCTTCAATCTCGGCGCAGTGAGAGGTCACATCACACACGTACAACCTTAGTTCAGGATGAGACACGACAAAGAAGAAAGATGAAGGAAACATTTTTCTCAGCTGCGTCTCCTTTTTAGCTAATTCTAGCAATAATAAAGCTTAATTAGTAAGCCTAGTTGTTCTGATACACATCATTATACAAATACTAGCTCGGTTGCTCCATTTTGGCCCCGCGTCGCCCAGCCCAGGACGACTCGGGGTGCACGTCCTTCTCGAGGCGGCGCCACCCGATCTACCAACTCTTCCTGTCGCGCCGCCGCTGGAGGACACCGTCGGGCGAAGCCCGCACGGCCAGCGGCGGCGGTGGGGCGTCTCCTCGCAGCGGCTCCCGTGCTGCAGGGCAGCAGCTTCGTGGTGGCGCGCGTCGACACGGCCTGTCGGTTGATGGCAAGGGCTCGGCGTCCGGCAGCGTGGTGGCTCGTAGTGGCTGGGTGGCACGGCTCTGTGTCGCTGGCGCATGGCTAGCTTGCCTCCTTGCTGGCTGTCCTGGAAGTTGATTGTTTCAAGATCCTTCGTTGTGGTAGCGTCTACAAGAGATGCGATCGGCTGGTCTTAGATATATTGCTGTCGCATGTCGGACGCCTACTGCAGTGATTCGCCGGCGTGGTTCGTCTTGCCCGCGTCTGCCCATGGGTGTGGCGGCGCGAGACCCCAACGTCCTTAGATGGATCGGGATTCTCCGTTGCACTTCCGCAAGGCTTCCGGCACGGATCACGACACGACCGGTACATATGGCTCCGGACTGCAGTTGCAGGCTTGGCCGGATTTGCATGATGGTGTTCACGGCCGGCGAGGTAGCAGTAGGTGGTGACCAGGATGAATACTCCGGCGTGGTGGCCGCGTGGTGACCAGGATGGATACTCCGGCGTGGTGGCCGCCTAACGGCGGATTACGATGTCCACTGAAAGGTCTTTGCGAGAGTGATACTCTCCAAGATCCGGTGGCTGGTTCGACGGTGATATGCAATCCATGAACGGTGGCTTGATGCAGAGGGTTTGGTTGTGTAGCGGCAACTATTGCTTTAAGCACATGCCGCTGCTAGGATCCTGGAAAGTGGTGGCGACAACACATGCTTGACTCCGATGGTGGTTCTTTTTTGAATACCCGGTCTCGAGTTTCGGGATGAAAATCTAGGTCTGGCCAATGACGGATATACCTGGCAGTGACGATGTTTTGGCGTCGTTACCTTGTTGAAGGCATTGCTCAGATTGCTTCTTTAGGGTGAGAACCTAGACTGTGACATTTGGTGGTTGGTTCTAGTGACGGTGGCACTCGAGTGTCGCTCCCATCCTGAAGGCGTTGCTGTTAAAAAATCTCGTTTTCCTTGTGATGCATGAGATGGTTGGTACAAATATGGTCATTGTTGTAGCTTGTTGATCGCAATTTTGATCACTTCAGGACAGGTTTTTTTTTGTTCTCTCGCTTAGGCATGACTTTGGTCTTATATGACTTTGCTATTTGCCGATGTATTTTGTGTGCGTGCGTTGGTATTGGTTGTGTGCATCTTAACTATACAGAGGCCGGGTGTGTGCTTACTGTGTTTGTATCTTCTTAATGTTTTATTTTAAGTAATAAAAATCACCCTTCGTCGAGAAAAGCCTAGTTGTCCTTTAAGCGACGAGAACCAAGTCAGAGGATGGAGAGAGGTCCCGCCAGGGCTATTTCTGGCCTAATACCAGAGCTATGCTAGCCTTGCCCTGGCATAAGTTTTCTTTTCTGACCAGTTATCACTGTTTTCATCAGTTTTTCTTTTCTTGGCAATCATCAGTTTTTCTTTTCTGACCAGTTATCCAGCATTGTAGTAGCCTTGCTACTGATGTGGGTTTTTTCCTTTTTTCTTGATCAACTTAATTGTTTCTTTTTCTTGTTTATTCGGTTTGCATGTTTCTTTCTTCGGTTTTCACAGGCTTCCTTTTGGTGTTTATTTTTATTTTTTGATAACATGTCTAACATTTTTAATGCATACTTTACATTTTTCGTATAGATGAGCAACATATTTGATACACATTGAACATTTTTCATACATGATGTACATTTTTGAAAAATATGTGTTTCAACTCTTTCGGAATACATGTTAAACCTTTATCAAATATGTTGATGTTATTTTAATGTCACATTTTTTAAATCTTGTACTCTTTTTACCACGAATATATTCCTGAAATGCGTGGTCTTTTTACATTGTATAAACATTGGATCCTGCGATATTTTTTTTCTAAATTTAAGGAAAGTGTTTTATTAATATAAAAAATTGAATTATGCGAACATTTAAAAAATTAACACACTCATTTTTCTGAATGGTACAAAACATTTTTTCTTAAAAGTAATACTCATTTTTTGGGACACGTGTACATTTTTAAATTACACTAATTGTTTTTACATTTTACAAATATTTTAACCTTGGATGAAATTTTTGATAATTTAAATAAAATATTTTTGCACTTTAGAAATTTAACAAAATGTAATAAAACAAATATTAAAATAAAACATCTGAGAGCCGCGGTACTTCTGCACTGGAACGATCCGTTTAGGGGGGACGCCTGAGGCAAGCACATCATTCACAAGTAAGGCGCTATAGCAGAAAAGTGGCTCTTAAACTGGCCCTTGAGTTTTAAGGGCCAGTTTTCAGCTATAGCGAGTGACGAGGCTTGTATGGGCCGACGATGGCGTAGTTCTCTCTCTCTTTTTTTTTGCACTCCCCTCCTTGTTTGCTCCCTCAGCACGGCTCGGTCACTCCTTAGATTTTTCCGCTGTGTCGTGCTGCTAGTTTAGCAAAATAACAACCCATTGATTTTTTTTAAGAAACTTCATGAAACAAGGAAATGATGAATTGTAAAAATGTTCAAGTGCTTAAAAATGCTTAATTTTTTAAACAATGATCACGAGTATTTAAAAAACATGAATAGGAAAACATTTTATTAATTTAAAAAGTTCATGAATTTGAAAAGAAGTGAAGTTTTTTTTCATGAACTTCATAATATGCATGGATTTGAAAAATGTTTGCAGATTTAAAAAGTTGGTAGATTTTTAAAAACA